GGATGGGCTGTGCATCACGACCTAACAGGCAGGACCTCTTTATTACATTGCAGAAGATCTGATCCATTACAGGAGCTCCCTAAATCCTCATATAGAGGGGTCTCTTGTACCCCAACTGCAATGAAATGTTCTCCGGGACAGCAGAAGTGGTCATTTCGCATGATAACTCCATTCATCAGTAATGTGTCGGTGTAACACTTCCGGGTATTTATTACCTCTCACAGGACTCCCCCTGACAATGCCCTCATCTGACTTTCTCTCCAGAAGGACGGCACCATGTTTGTTCAGGCATCACCCAGGGTCACCATCTACTTCCTGGATTGAGGTGCCGGCTCAGAGATGACAAAATCATGTAAATCCCGGTGTCTGTGCAATTATTGACACAGATTAGCCCGTTAGAGCATCTCACCTTGAGACTTGTTACAAAGGTTACAATGTTGCAGTATGATCATGAGAATAGGATGATCTAGAATTTCTGGAGTCCCTGGGGTCAGGGGGTGACACAGGATTTCAGGGTGCTGCAGAGTCCCTGGGGTCAGGGGGTAATCTTTATATGAACTCAGAGTGATAAAACCTTCCATATAGAGTCCTTCTCTCGATGATCTCGTTCTTTCTCACTGTCAGGAACTTTCTAGGCCTCTCAGAGAGCCGCTAACGAGCCGACATTTAATAATCCTCCGACAAGATGAAGCCTCTCTCCCCGCACTCCGGGGGGATTCCAGCATAACAACGGAGGATAAAAATTGGCGAAGCGGAACGAGGACGGCGGCCAGGAACCCTCCCCGGCTCCGCTGACCCTGACAGTGATGAGGAACTGATGAACTGGCCACGGAGGAGGCTTCGGAATGGCGGGTTTATATTGGCGCTCATCCAGCCAATGGCGGAGCGCGTCTGATTAATGTGCGTCTCGGAGGACTTGCGGCGCGGATTCCATCAATTATGTAAAATAAATTCACAGATTGTACAGGTAATACGGCAACAAGAGAGAAGAGCAATGAGAAGGTGGAAAGGAAGGACTCCAATGCACGACCAACCAATGCCGGAGAGGACCTGACACACCAGACTGTAACTGACCAACCCCCCCAGACTACAAAACACTCCAACCAGGCGGAGGCCGGAGGGCCAAGGGGGCAAATAGTTACCCTGTGCTCACCATCAACCTGCTCTCCCGCCAGGGTTTAAAGCCCTGTGTGAGCTCCATGATGGCCCATGCTGAAGCTTAGAAAGGGTTAATCACCTTCCTCCCCACCCCCACATGATGACGCTTGGTCCTGGCCATTGGGTGCTCAGACCCGGGGTGTTACATCATAGGAAATGGCGACACGTGCTCCCCCATAGTATTTCATGGGGCTCCAGCTGCTGACTGGACTGGTGGGGGATCTCCAGAAGGTGTCAGTGGCCGGGGGGGAAATGGGGTATCAAGGGAACCTGTCACTTTGTCCTCCATGGATATGATTGCCATAAATAGGGAAACTTTGTGGCAATTTCAATAGGAAAAACATCTGAACAGATGGAAGTCACCGACCACCGAAAGAGCCGAATAAACCTGAGAGAACTGGAGCCGCTGCTGGTAGACTTCCTTGACCCGTCTGGTCAGTTGTTGCTATGAAGATCTGTTTCGGATGGTCACAGAATCACCAGAAGGGGCGGGGTCTGTCCTGATCACAGACTTTGGAATTACGGTCGTATTCAGAGAAAAGAACGAAAGGCACTTCGGGAAAAGAACATTGTAACAGCCCACGACCCGAGCCCACCATGACCTTCATCCATGACTGGAAGAAAGAAATGTAATCTGTGTGGTAATGAATGTTACAATGCGCTCCCATTGAGGGCTACGTTCCGAGTTACACGGAAGGTGTTAATGGGCCCCAAAGAAAATAATGAGATTCCCTTTGTTGTGCATTGGCGCACGACGGCCGAAAAGCTTCAAGTCCCACAGGTGTCAGGTGTGGACAAGAGCTGTATAGTGACGCTGGTTCATAGCAAAAACATTATTATTATTACACAGGATTTATAGAGCGCCAACAGTGTGCGCAGCGCTGTACAATATAAGGAAGACATTACAATCACAATACAAATCAAGACAAGTGAGGTGAATGAGTCTAGCAGCTGCATTCATGATAGACTGAAGGAGGAGGAGCCTGTGTAGAGATCAGCCAATGAGGAGGGAGTTGCAATAGTCAAGAAGAGAGATAACAAGGGAGTGGTTGAGTAGTTTTGCGGTGTCATTGGTGAGGAAGGGGCGTATTTTGTAGATGTTAGGAAGGTGAAGGCGGCAGGATTTGGATAGGGATTGGATGTGGGGAAGAAAGGTGTCAAGGGTGACACCTAGGACCTTGGCATGGGACATGGAACACCAAACACATTCACGGACTTAAAGACCCCCCTCCCCCCATCCTTCTTCAGGGCTACATAACAAACACGAACACGTATGATGTCTGTAGGTCTGTAGAGAAGAGCGTTGGACTGACCTGGATTTTGATTGGCCAGGAGAAGTTGCTGACGTAGACATAGAAAGTGATGTTGGGATTACTCCGGAAATTAAACTTCTCACACGAGAAACTGTCCCGATATTCTTTGATGTTGGACCGGGCCACCAGCGGGACCTCCTCCCCCGATATCGTGCCAGCTGCAAAGACAGAAGCAACGCAAGTTATAACCGCGTACACTGAACAACATAAGGAACCGCCATTGTATGATATACAACATGTAACGCTATATGATAAGAAGCCGTCTTCCATTCTGCACACACGTCACACATACTGAGGTTGGGTTAAAGGAGAACTATGGGGTGGGGGGGGGGGGTGCTTTCCACTCACCTCATAGTTCTAGCCGACCTGTGACAATGAGACTGTCACAGGTCGGCTCAGTAGATCGGGAGGTGAGAGAACACATACCGGCGTTCGCTCACTTCTCGATCCTGTTCCGGCAGAGAGTCGTGACAGGGGAGGGGCTGGATTCCCCGTTCCGATCCTCCAACGCTGACTGGCGGAACGGACGGGGGAGGTGGACGGGTACAGCTGGCTCTGCCGTTTTTCAAGAGGGGCTCATTGTTAAAGTGTTTAACCCCTTCATGACTGAGGCCCTTTTTTCAATTTTTGCACCCATGTTATATTCCACATTTTAGGCCTGAAAATGACGTAAAACCCCCCAACATTATATATTTATGGCCCTCCAGACTCCCCCCGGCATGGCACATTTGGAGTGACCGTCTCCTCCTCCGGCATCCATCAGGTGATATCATTTCTATAACAATCTTTTTTGGCTGCCACGTGTATTGCGGTTGGCGCTGTAAAACCCCCGCCGTGCCGTACGCAGCGTCACCATACAATGCACCTCGCAGATTCACTTTTTCAATCAATATCTTTCTTTTTTTCCCTTCTCCGGTTTTGTGACAAACTGCGACGGCTCAAAATGTCTTCATTTTATGGGCGGAAAAATCTCGAGCAGATGCTGCGTTCTATGGCCTTGCCTTAAAAAAAAAAAACTGGTCGCGTCTGAGAAAATGAATGAACTAATATATTAGGAGATAAATTTCCCGATAAACAAGTCCTGTTTAGTACCCTCTCCAGCGCCGACCCGCCGAAAATTTACTCCGCGTGTCAACGAAAATTCACGGCTTGGTAAGCCGCAGGAGGGAGTGCGCGCGGGCCGGGGGACGGCGTGGGGAAGGGAACGCATTACATTCCGATACATTGTGACATTTACGAGCCGCGTTTTTAACAGCCCGGCAGTTCTGTTTGATCAGAGAGATGGATTGGTAATTACGGCGGGGGATCGCACCGCGAGGTCTCCGCGCGTCTTAAGGTGGAATAATTGTATTCATTTCCTGAGCCACTGAGCCACGCTGGTAATTGGTTTTGATTTGTGCACAAAGTAACTCTCCGGCCAAGGTGGAAGTTTCACATGTAACCCCTTCAGCTCATCCCCCATGTACGCCCCCTACCGACCAGAACAATTTTTACATTGCCACCGTGTATACGCCAATAACTTTGTCGTTACTTAAAGTGATATTAAAGCCTTTTTTTTTTCTTTTTTCAATTTCTCCTTTAAAAGGAGAACTATGGAGAACTATGAGGTCCGGGCTTTTCCCCATAGTTCTCCTCAGGGTAACGGGAGGACACAAACTAGCGTCCTCCCGTCACCCTAGGCTCAGTATAATCCCCCCCCCCTCATAGTTCTCCTTTAAGGAGACCCTACTTTGCTGGAGGATGTTGCATTTTTTTCTTTAAAAGTTTTTCATTCCTCGCTTTATAGTGGGTCCCCGCAGCCCTCTTCCCCCCGCCCCCAGCACAGGTGCCACCATCGTTCTAATGGAGGCACCCGTGCCCGCAGTGGCTGTGTGCGTCCATAGACACACACACAGCCCTGTGGCAGGCCACGCCCCTTCCCTCTTTGATTGATGGCAGAAGGAGCCTATGGCTCCTCTGCCATCAGTATCCTCTCCCAGCAAACCGGAAGTTCGGGAAACAGAGGATCGCATCAGGACCGGCGGCGGGGACGAGCGCAGCTGGCAGGTAAGTGTGTGTGGGGGCGGGGGGGACTGGGGGAGAAAAAAGGTGCTGGGCCGTTTTTACCCTCATGCAGAGAATGCAATAAGGTAAAAAAACGCCCCCAGACCGTAATACTACTTTAAGATAGCAAACTAATGTGTGTGTATATATTTATATATTTTAAATTTTCTTTTTTTACAACAAACCAGATTTTTTTAAACATTTTGTCTTAAAAAAGGTTTTGTTTTTTTTTTATGCAATCCAAAGACAAAAACGGAAAACAAAACAGTGTTAAAATATATAGTTTAGATAAAAAGTATAAATGTTATACTGAAATGTGTCCTGTTTCAAATGAAACTAAAATTATGAATGGCGTAGAAGTTAGTGCTTCTCCCTTGCAGCACTGGGGGGTCCCCGGTTCGAATCCCGGCCAGGTCACTATCTGCAAGGAGTTTGCATGTTCTCCCTGTGCTTGTGTGTTTCCTCCGGGTACTCCGGTTTCCTCCCACACTCCAAAGACACGCTGGAAGGTGAATTGGCTTCTGTCTAAATTGGCCCCCTTGTATGTATGCATATGGTATAGGGACCTTAGATTGTAAGTTCCTTGAGGGCAGGGACTGATGTGAATGTGCACTGTGTGCTGCGAGTATTCTGCGAGTCTACAACCTGCCAGGAATGTGCGCAGCAAGTTAACAAAATTACAATGTAACCCTGACACTGAGTTTGTGGCAAGTTATCCTTGCTATCTGGGTGCCAGTCCCCGTCCTCAAGGAATTTACAATCTAAGGTCCCTATATCACATGCATACATAGAAGGACCTATTTAGAGAGGAGCCAATTCACATTCCAGCATGTCTTTGGAGTGTGGGAGGAAGGCAGAGTCCCCAGAGGAAACACGCACAAGCACAGGGAGAGCATGCAAACACCTTGTTACAAGGCATTCCAAAGTTATTTGCAAGGGGCTTCTATAGGTGAAGTTCCACTAGCCCGCCATTTACTCCGACTGGGGGTGTCTGCGCCTCCACTGCACAAAGATATGCGCCGTTTTGTGGGTTAGCCTGTACAACAATAATAACACATTTAAAACTGAAAACTCGGGCACTGGGCATAAGCCCCGTCATTACCAGTTCTCTTTAAAACCTCATTAAAAGTTCTCCCAACTTTTCCTGCAATGTGACTTCCAGAGAGCGTGCTTCCTTTCCTGCGATTCAGATCTCACCAGGGTCCCCAATGGAAGGCTGCTTTATCTTTGATAAAAAAATGCAACTTTTATCCGACTTCATTAATATATGTAAATACATTTGGAATGCCACGAGCTCTCGGCTCTCCTGTCAGCAGATGGAAAAACAATGGGCAGATTTTTTACTTGCTCTCATCGACAATGAGTCCCACTGGCTCCGAGCCCTTAACCCCCCCCTCGTGACGTCTCTTTCTTAAACCTCCGATGCAGAAAAGGGAAAATAAATAAATAAAATGGTTCAATATAAAGAGCCTTCCATCCCCCGGGGGCCGGGGCGCCGTAAAGGGGGGGCGACACACACACCCCAGAGAAGCCATGCTTGAAAAGGCTCTATCTACCCCGGCAGGACGACTCCTATTGTCTGCCATCAATATTAAGGTTAATAATTAAAAGTGGATTTTGCAATCTTTGTCTCTGGCGGGTGAGAAGCAATTTATCTTAATTAAATCGCAACATTTCATAACACTGCCATTTTCTCTCGGCTTTTCACTGTGACAAAAGCCATTTGCCACCAAAGTCATTTTAATTGAATAAGGAGAGAAAACTTAACATGTTAATGAAGCTTTTATTCAAGGAGTAAATTATCTCCGCTATGAGTCGTGTCATTTCCGGAAGTCGGGGCGACAATGCCCCGAGAATAGGCGAGAAGCAACAATGCAAAGTTTAGAGGGAATAATAAGAGCTCCGAGTGTCTCGCAATGACAAGTTGGTGGCAAGCGGAACTTTTATCAACAAGAGAACGGATAAAGGGGTCAGTCCACCCAAATCTGGCGTCCTGGTGTTCAGTAGATGATGGAGAGTGAAGTCACCTGATGGTTCCTTGTGTCTATTGAGGATTCCCATACTGAGATCTGTAACATTGAGTTCACGTCTCTGCTTACTCTATGAGCAGTGTGTTGCATGGCCCTCACCCAAATAGGAGCTCAGGTATAAACACCTATACCCTCTCACGTATCAATTATCTGCCACGCGTCATAATCACAGCGCTAATGGTTAAAGGAGAACTATGAGGGGAGTGATTGTCACTCATCCTGAGTTCTAGCCGACCTGTGACAATGAAACTGTCACAGGTCGGCTCAGTAGATCGGGAAGTGAGAGAACACATAGCGGCGCTCGCTCACTTCTCAATCCTGTCCCTGCAGAGAGCCCTGATCGCCACTCACGGCTCCCTGCTGGGATTCCCCCCTCCCCTGTATGATCCTCCAGCGCTGACTGGCGGAACGGACGGGGGAGGGGGCGGGTACAGCTGGCTCTGCCTCTAGATAGGCAGAGCGGCTGTCACTCACGCAGTTGGGTGGATCCGGACATAATTGTAAGGTGTATGGGCAGCTTAAGACACACAGAGCTGGTCAGAGTACTCGCTCTACTAATGCAGACCATGTGTGCAGCCTGAATATGACTATTTTCTCTACAGCTGAGGTCTTGTTGTTCATCCTTCTAGCCAACCTAGGTAGTTCCTGACCTATGAGTGTGCTCCGTCTGTCCTGACCTCTGGTAGTTCCTGACCTATGAGTGTCCTGTCTGTCCTGACCTCTGGTAGTTCCTGACCTATGAGTGTGCTCCGTCTGTCCTGACCTCCGTTAGTTCCTGACCTATGAGTGTGCTCCATTCATCCTGACCTCTGGTAGTTCCTGACCTATGAGTGTGCTCCGTCTGTCCTGACCTCTGGTAGTTCCTGACCTATGAGTGTGCTCCGTCTGTCCTGACCTCTGGTAGTTCCTGACCTATGAGTGTCCTGTCTGTCCTGACCTCTGGTAGTTCCTGACCTATGAGTGTGCTCCGTCTGTCCTGACCTCCGTTAGTTCCTGACCTATGAGTGTGCTCCATTCATCCTGACCTCTGGTAGTTCCTGACCTATGAGTGTGCTCCATTCATCCTGACCTCTGGTAGTTCCTGACCTATGAGTGTGCTCCATTCATCCTGACCTCTGGTAGTTCCTGACCTATGAGTGTGCTCCATTCATCCTGACCTCTGGTAGTTCCTGACCTATGAGTGTGCTCCATTCATCCTGACCTCTGGTAGTTCCTGACCTATGAGTGTGCTCCATTCATCCTGACCTCTGGTAGTTCCTGACCTATGAGTGTGCTCCATTCATCCTGACCTCTGGTAGTTCCTGACCTATGAGTGTGCTCCATTCATCCTGACCTCTGGTAGTTCCTGACCTATGAGTGTGCTCCATTCATCCTGACCTCTGGTAGTTCCTGACCTATGAGTGTGCTCCATTCATCCTGACCTCTGGTAGTTCCTGACCTATGAGTGTGCTCCATTCATCCTGACCTCTGGTAGTTCCTGACCTATGAGTGTGCTCCGTCTGTCCTGACCTCCGGTAGTTCCTGACCTATGAGTGTGCTCCATTCATCCTGACCTCTGGTAGTTCCTGACCTATGAGTGTGCTCCGTCTGTCCTGACCTCTGGTAGTTCCTGACCTATGAGTGTGCTCCGTCTGTCCTGACCTCCGTTAGTTCCTGACCTATGAGTGTGCTCCATTCATCCTGACCTCTGGTAGTTCCTGACCTATGAGTGTGCTCCATTCATCCTGACCTCTGGTAGTTCCTGACCTATGAGTGTGCTCCATTCATCCTGACCTCTGGTAGTTCCTGACCTATGAGTGTGCTCCATTCATCCTGACCTCTGGTAGTTCCTGACCTATGAGTGTGCTCCGTTCATCCTGACCTCTGGTAGTTCCTGACCTATGAGTGTGCTCCATTCATCCTGACCTCTGGTAGTTCCTGACCTATGAGTGTGCTCCATTCATCCTGACCTCTGGTAGTTCCTGACCTATGAGTGTGCTCCGTTCATCCTGACCTCTGGTAGTTCCTGACCTATGAGTGTGCTCCATTCATCCTGACCTCTGGTAGTTCCTGACCTATGAGTGTGCTCCATTCATCCTGACCTCTGGTAGTTCCTGACCTATGAGTGTGCTCCATTCATCCTGACCTCTGGTAGTTCCTGACCTATGAGTGTGCTCCGTCTGTCCTGACCTCTGGTAGTTCCTGACCTATGAGTGTGCTCCGTCTGTCCTGACCTCTGGTAGTTCCTGACCTATGAGTGTCCTGTCTGTCCTGACCTCTGGTAGTTCCTGACCTATGAGTGTGCTCCGTCTGTCCTGACCTCCGTTAGTTCCTGACCTATGAGTGTGCTCCATTCATCCTGACCTCTGGTAGTTCCTGACCTATGAGTGTGCTCCATTCATCCTGACCTCCGTTAGTTCCTGACCTATGAGTGTGCTCCATTCATCCTGACCTCTGGTAGTTCCTGACCTATGAGTGTGCTCCATTCATCCTGACCTCTGGTAGTTCCTGACCTATGAGTGTGCTCCATTCATCCTGACCTCTGGTAGTTCCTGACCTATGAGTGTGCTCCATTCATCCTGACCTCTGGTAGTTCCTGACCTATGAGTGTGCTCCATTCATCCTGACCTCTGGTAGTTCCTGACCTATGAGTGTGCTCCATTCATCCTGACCTCTGGTAGTTCCTGACCTATGAGTGTGCTCCATTCATCCTGACCTCTGGTAGTTCCTGACCTATGAGTGTGCTCCATTCATCCTGACCTCTGGTAGTTCCTGACCTATGAGTGTGCTCCATTCATCCTGACCTCTGGTAGTTCCTGACCTATGAGTGTGCTCCGTCTGTCCTGACCTCTGGTAGTTCCTGACCTATGAGTGTCCTGTCTGTCCTGACCTCTGGTAGTTCCTGACCTATGAGTGTCCTGTCTGTCCTGACCTCTGGTAGTTCCTGACCTATGAGTGTTCTCCGTCTGTCCTGACTTTGGCTTCCTGTCACTTGTTTTTATTCTGAACCTGCAATTAGTTTCATCTCCTGGATGTGACCCCGCCTCGTCATATTCCCTCCACCACCTCTCCGCCTTGCCAGGTTCTCTCCACCTTCATCGGTTCCCCTCAAGAATATGGCGCCGTCTGCTGAGACAAATGTAGCTGATCTGCAGCCCGCCTCTGGCGCCAATGCTCTAGGCCTGGATATTCTATTGGACGATTCACACCAGCGCCATATCCTGACTAGTGATCCTCCCGTGCTAATCTTTGTGCACCAACTCGGCAGAAATGACTCCATCGTAATAGAGGATACGGGGGCGGCTGAGTGCGCCTCAGATAATGTGCGCACAGCGAGTCATCTTACCTGTAGATCCGATGGACCATGTGATGTTGAGGTTAAAATTGTTCGATGCATTGATGGAAATATCCAAATTCTTGTTTGACTGGAAAGAGAGAAGAGAGAAAAAAAATGCGAGTTAGCTTTGGGTCGGTGACGAGGGTCACGTGACAGTAATGGTGACATTTCATTGGAAGCTGCCGATGAATATCACTTGTGATTGCTCGTCATTTTCCAGAGATCCAATCGCACGCGCCGGACCTTCTACAGCTAAAGACAACATTAGTTTCTTTTCATTTTTGGATGTTAAAAAGAAAGATTAAAAATTCGGTTGTGTTAATTTTTTGCGATTGCGATTTGCGATACGCTCAGTGTGAATGGGGCCTCAGGCTGTTGCCACTCCTGCAGCCCACCCCCTCCCCCCAACACTGGCAGCTTTCCCATCTATTCCAATTCTGCTGACAAATGTAACATTTTTGGATTTACTATCACTTCCTGTCATGGTGACAACAGTCATTAGGACACATAAGAGAGGGGGAATCTCCCCAGTGAGTACACGGACATCACTAATATCCTGGGTACATGTATAAGAAGTGTGAGACCTTCTGTTCTTATCATCCAACATTGTGAATGGCCATTTCATTGATTAAAGGAGAAGTACGGGGTCAGGGCTTTTCCCCATAGTCCTCCTAAGGGTAACGGGAGGACACAAACTAGCGTCCTCCCATCACCCTAGGCTCAGTATATAGGGAGCTACAGCTCGCGGTATACTGAGACGCCGCAGCCGGGACCTATCACGACATTGCTGTCAAGATCCACTCGGCTGCGTGAGTGACAGCTGGCTCTGCCTATCTAGAGGAAGAGCCAGATGTACCCGCCCCCTCCCCCGTCCGTTCCGCCAGTCAGCGCTGGAGGATCAGAACGGGGAGGGGGGAATCCCTGCAGGGAGCCTTGAGTGACAATCACGGGTCTCTGCAGGGACAGGGGAGGGGCTGGCTTCCCCCCTCGCCGCTCCGATCCGCCAGCACTGACTGGCAGAACGGTCGGGGGAGGGGGCGTGAGAGCCGTGACAGGATCGAGAGGTGAGCGAACGCCGGTATGTGTTCTCTCACTTCCCGATCTACTGAGCCGACCTGTGACAGTCTCATTGTTTCATCGTCACACGTCGGCTCAGATTATGAGTGAAAACCACTCCCCCTCATAGTTCTCCTTTCAGCTGACTTGCATCGGTGGCGCAGCGCACATGTCCAAAACCACCCCCAACTAAAGGAAGGGTGGGAGGGGGTGTCCTGAAAAAAGCAGTAAGGGCGATACACCAATGGTCATAGAGTCCAGGATGGTTTTCAATGAACGTTTATACGTTTAACTTCTCTTGTCGCCCTGATGAAGGGGGAACGTCTATACCCCCGAAATGCGTTGGCTCTCTATTTCTATCGATATTCTGCATCATTCCGGGCTCTGTGACTGTTGGTGTGTCGCCCTCGCTGCGTTTGGACACATTTGAGCAACAAAAAGGCTGCTCGGGCTTCTAACCTGTCACCAGTGCAGCCGTCAGAAATTTTAGGGCCCCTTAAACGGCTTTAGGCCGGGCAACGCCCCCTCCCCCCACCGCTGGACACAGGCTTAGTGACACGCTGGACGCAGGGCTTAGCGACGCGCTGAACACAGGACCAACCTGAGAGTGACCCTGCAGAGCCCACCATAGATGCTGCACAGCCCATCTGAGACTGTCTATGGTGGGCTCTGGAGGGGTCTCAGGTGGGCTGGGACTAACGTGACGTCACTTCCGGCCAGTCCGACATCAGGCGAGCAGCATCGCTGATGGGGCCCCAGCTTGTCTCGAAGCCGCTGGAGCGGCGATGCTAGGGCCAGGCCTTCGCCTCCTTGCCCTTCACCGTTGGCCGATAGTCATGTAGACACAGGACCCACCTGAGAGTGACCCTGCAGAGCTCTGAAGGGGTCTCAGGTGGGCTGGTCAGGGCTGCATCCCTCCACTCCCTCCTTTCTTTCCTAGCTCCTCTTACCGGCACACGTGGCCCCGTCTGCCGCCGGACCGACCAGAAGTGACGTCACTTCTGGCCAGTCCGACATCAGACGAGCAGCGTCGCTGATGGGGCCCTAGCTTGTCTCGAAGTCGCTGGAGCGGCAATGCTGGGGCCCTGCGCTGCTAGGGCCAGGCCTCCGCCTCCTCGCCCTTCACCGTCGGCCGATAGTCATGTAAGGGACCCGGGCGGGCCCCCCAGGCTCCTTACATGAGTATCTGCCGTACCCCCCTGATGGCTGCCCTGCCTG